ATAAATAAACAATTAAAATTTTGAAAAATTTTTTAATAAAAAAGGAAATGAAGACTTTCAGAGAAGATCGTAACATCAAACTTCATATGTTTATATACATACACATACATACATACATACATATATATATATATACACACACACAGTATGTGTGCCCAAGTGAATAAGAATTCAGAACTCGTTATGTAAACTGGCAGAATGAGAAGAGTCAGGAAGATAAGAAACACCCATCAAGGCATTTAGACACAAGAATGGCAACCCCTGCTGTAGCTAGAAAAGGAAATAATGGAAAGAAGTCCAAAGTCATACAGCTGACTCTGGCTCTGCATCTCTAGTGCTTGAAGAAATTACCTGGAGGGCATTGTTAAATAAGATTCTTGGGCTCTGCCTCAAAGGACTCATTAGGTTTGGGTAGTGCTCGGGAATCAGCATTTTTACAAACTCCTTCCATAAGTGTGCAACAAGTCATACTTCGAAAAATCTTCAACAGGGGCTATAGCCCAGGCTGATACTGTCATTGGTGTTAGTAGCAACACGAAACAAGGTGAGTAGCAGCTAAGAGGTCTGAGCTTCAGGTAGGCAGGCTAACACACTGCATTAGTTCCCCAGGGCTGCCGTAATAAATTAACAAGTTGGGTGGCTCAAAACAATTGAAACTTATTCTATTACACGTCTAGGGGCCAGATGTCCAAAATCTACATGTGCGGGGCAGGGGTGCTGCTCCCTCTATAGGCTCCGTGGGAGGTGCTACTCCTCCCTCTTATAGCTTCTGGTGGCTCATGGCGTTTCCTGACTTGCAGCTGCTCATTCCAACCTCTGCCTCCATCTTCACAAAGCCTCTCCTCCCCTCTGCGTCTTTCCTCTAGGTGTCTCTTACCAGGATACAGGCCATTGGATTTAGGGCTCACCCAGGTAATTCAGGATGATCTTACCTTGAGATTCTTGACTTAATTACATCTGCAAATATTCCTTTTTCCAAATAAGTTCACAATACAGGTTCTAGAGTTTAGGATAAAGACGTGTTTTTTTGTTTTTGTTTTTTGATGGGCCACCATTCAACTACACAGGCCAATTCTGCAACCAGCTGTTTGGGGCCACTGTCAGAGCAAGGGGAAGGCAAGAGTTGTCTGGCTCTAGCGCTGGAACAATCTAACCTTCAAGGGAAGGTCATGAAGGCTCAGACTCAGGAACCAGCCAGAAGCTGGCCATTAACAGATGGGGTGGGTCGTGGGGTGAGTGGCAGAGCTCACTTGATTTTATTATCCTGAACTTCTGAGTCAGGATGCTATAATCCCTCGTAGCCAGGACATGACTGTGCTCCTACTCGGGGACAAAGCCCTGCTGCCACAGCATGTGGACGTCCAGGGGCAACAGGAAGGTTGGAGGCTGGGAGTCAGACTGGACGACAGAGCTGCAAACCACACCATCAAGTAGAATCATAAGCAGCTACCACTTACTGAGCACCTGCTATATGCCTGGCACTTTACATTTATTATTGCCGCTTTTCATCGCCACCTTGTAATATGGGCATTGCTGTAGGAGTTCCCACTTAACATAGGAGAAAACAGGCTTTTAAAGATTAAAGTTGTAGAACCAGCAAGTGGCAGAGCTGTAATTTAAGCCCAGATCACTCTGGCTCCAAAGCCCATTATCTCTCTATGAAAACATGCTGCCTCTCTGCAAATCAATAGCCTACCTCAAATTTTAGCATCTCGTTTTCCATCACCTCCTCTTCTCTCTTCGGACCCTTCTACCGCTTCATCCTGGGGTTCGCTAGACATTAAAATGTCACATTGTTTGTTTTCTTCCAAATGCCGTATGTTAAAAACTATAACTTGGCTCAAGTAGGATAAGTATTTCAAGGCTTTCTCAACAAGAAGCACAGGTGTGGATCTGGATTGTAACACTCGCTCCTTTGTGACTGGGCCGTACTCATCTTAACATAATCACTTGTGGAGAGCCCTGGTAGGGATTTTTGTGCCCAGTTCCAAATCCTGGGCTTGTCTCTAATCTTAATACTGCATGTCCAGAACTGTCCCTCCCACCACCGAATGCATGCAGCCAGTGATGTTCTACAGGTGGTATAATCTGAGTGGTTACAGTACTGAGTTCCTCGGCAGTGACCCACGGCGGAAAGCAACACTGATGGCATAAGGTCAAGGAAACTGCCGATACGTTATGCCCCTCATCCAACCAGGAATTGATGCCCTTTGAGTACCACCTAATCTGCCCTAAAGATAGTGTCAGTTTTATGAAAGAGCGTCCATAAATGTTTGAGCACTAGCCCGTGTGTCCCTCACTGGCTTGCTCACCTACATTCCTGAGCCTGGTTGCAAGCTTTAAGAGTACTTTTAGCCCATCCTGTTTCAGCCTAGATAACAGGACTGAAAGTACTAAGGAGTCCTAGCTTGAACTGACATATCTGGTCAGGCTTTTCGTAAGACTGAATATATGAGCTTTTGGAAATTATTATTATCGATAACAATAATAAAGTTTTGCATATGGGCTACAAGAATCACAGCCCTCCAACAACAGATGCTGGCAAGGATGCAGAGAAAGAGGATCTCTTTTGCACGGCTGGTGGGAGTGCAAACTGGTGCAGCCACTCTGGAAAACAGTATGGAGTTTCCTCAAAAAATTAGAAATATAACTACCCTATGGCCCAGCAATTGCACTGCTATGTATTTACCCAAGGGATACAGGTGTGCTGTTTTGAAGGGACACATGTACCCCAATGTCTATAGCAGCACCATCGACAATAGCCAAAGTATGGAAAGAGCCCAAATATCCATTGGTGGATGGATGGATAAAAAAGATGTGGAGAGTGTGTGTGTGTGTGTGTGCGCGCGCATACACAACGGAGTATTACTTGGCCATCAATAAGAATGAAATCTAGCCATTTGCAATTACATAGATGGAATTAGAGGGTATTATGCTAAGTGATATTAGTCAAAGACAAATATATGACTTCACTCATATGAGGACTTGAAGATACAAAACAGATGAACATAAAGGAAGGGAAGCAAAAATAATATAAAAACAGGGAGGGGGACAAAACATAAGAGACTCTTAAATATGGAGAACAAACAGAGGGTTGCTGGAGGGGGGATGGGCTAACTGGGTGAGGGGCATTAAGGAACCTACTCCTGAAATCACTGTTACACTATATGCTAAGTAACTTGGATGTTAATTAAAAAATAAATTTTAAAAAGTTTAAAAATGTTTGAAAAGAATCACAGCCCTCATCACCCCCCCAACACCAGCTTAGCAGCTCGTTTGTAGGATTCTCAGGGACTGGGCCTGCAAATGACTGACTGACCCGGACACCTTTCCCCACAATCCTGCGGGCGTCCCTTTTCCTGTCCTATCTCACAGAAGCAGTGTTCAATTTTAAGATCCACGTATAGTTGGCATCCGTACAGAAATCCGTTTGACAGGAACTTAATAGGCTTCTGGTGACAACGCCTAGTTTACTAAAATGAAGAAAGGCAAGGCAAGGCAGAATCTTTTAAAATGTTTTGGGATGGGTCTGGATCGTCGCGTTTGCCTTCAGTCGGAGAACTTGGTGGGAAACCGAGAGTGTAAAGCGCCGGTGGTGCCAGTTGTGCAGCGTTTGCTGGGAGCGAGACGTCATGGTGGGAAGCGGGCACTTCTTCGGATTACTGCTTGGCGGATTAGAGACCCGCAGATCGGTCCCGGGTCAGCCCTGATTAACCGCCCTGGGTGCTTCTGGGCCAGCGGAGGGGGTGGGGAGGGGGGGAGGTGTGGCTGGACTCCAAACCCATACTCGTGGTAAGCTTTTGCTCAAAGCCTTTCAGAGTTTAATTTTTTACGTAACCCCCCCATCCCGGCTACTAAGGAAGCCGCCAGGAATGATCTGGAAGGCTAACGAAAGTGGTGCCCGCGGTCACGGCAGCCGAACCTTCTGCCCCCACGGTCCCCGTCGGCCCACATGCTTCTGTCTATCAGCCTGGGCCTCGGGCTCCGCTCTCGCCGCGGCATTGGTTGGATTTCAGGAAAAGAGAAACCCACGATTTAAAGGGCTCAGTTCCCACCTGCCAGGCGTCGTCCGCGTGGTCCCACTTGCCTCTGAAACACCTTTGGGAGAATCTCCAGCTGTTGTTCATCTACTACACTGAGTGGCCAAAGGAGAGAGAATTCCCGCAAGTGTCCCCCTTCGTCACCTTGACAATTTCTAAAAGCGAAACTTGTGCCCCAGACCAGATGGACGCTGAGTCTGCGAGCCCAGGTCAGCAGCCCCCGCCCGCGCGCCGGGGCGGAGCTCGGGCAGGGCGTGGCTTTCCGTGGGAGAGAAGGGAAGGCTTTTGCCCCACCCCCGAAAAGCCCTGCTCTCCCCTAGCCAATCGAGGAGGCCCATGCAAATGAGGCCCCTGTCGCCCCGGTAACCGTGAGGCGAGGCAGCCAATGGAAACCAGCCAGTCGCGGCCCTGCGCCACGACTGGGACTCAAGCGAGGAGCTGGAGGCCCAATGGGCTGTGGGAACGGTCCTCGGCGGGTTGAGGGGCGGGGATATGCAAATATGGTTTGAAAAGCCGGCGGGAAATCTGAGTTTCGCGGGAGGACCTTGGCGCGTAAACCGTATCCCTTCATTCATTGTCAGCAGCAGCTTCCTGGAGCCATTTTTCAGCTGCCGGCCGCAGCACCCGGGCTGCCGCCGCCGCCTCGCAATCCGTTGCATCGGCCGCCCCCGACGCCTCCATCCCCCCTCGGGGCCCGATATCCGTGCGGCCGGGACCCTCCTCTCTCCAGAGCCCCGATTATTTTTGGCCCCCGGGGCCCGTGCGGTGCGGAAAAATAAAAAGAAACGAGAGAGAAGGGGCTCGGAAGCGCCGGGCGGGGAGGAGAGAAGGAGGAGAGACTTGGAAACTCCGACTGCAAATAATAAAAGAAATTGAAAACAATACATGAATAGACCGTAGCAATAAAAAGAGCAGGAGCGAGAGATGAGAAAGGGGATCCAGCCCGCCCTGGAGCAGTACCTGGTGACCGCCGGGGGTGGGGAGGGGGCGGCCGTCGCCGCCGCCGCCGCCGCCGCAACAGCCTCCATGGACAAAAGGGCACTGCTGGCCAGCCCCGGCTTCCCCGCCGCCGCCGCCGCCGCCCCGGGCGCGTACCTCCAGATCCTCACCACGAACACGTCCACCACCTCCTGTTCCTCCTCCCTGCACAGCGGCGCGGGCGCCGCCGGGCCCCTGCTCCCCAGTGCCCCCGGCGCGGAGCACACCGCCGGCAGCCTCCTCTACACCACGCCGCACGGACCCTCCGGCAGAGCCGGGCTGCTGCAGCAGCCACCAGCGCTGGGACGCGGCGGCGGCGGCGGCGGCGGCCCTCCGGTAATGCCCTCCGGTCCCCACCGTCCCCAGCCCGGGCGGGAGGTGGGCTGCTCGGCGCGGGGTGGTGGGCGCGCTGCGGGCCGCCGCGGGGGCCTCATTGTTAGCCCGGCGCCCGGAGGGTCGGGGGGCTCCGCCGGGCGCGCGGGGCAGCGGGGACTGCGTCGGCGCGGACCGCGTCAAACGCTCGGAAACTTTTCGCGGGCCCCCCTTCTTTCCCAGCACTTTTCCCTACCCCCACCCTCCCCTCCCCTCCGACTCGAAGCTTCCTCTTTCTCGGGCGTAGGAAGGGGTCACGCCCCGGATGGAGAAGGGGGTGGGGGGGGGAGGGAGTATAAGTGAAGTGGGGAGTGGGGCGCCGCCGGGGGCTGGGAACCGGGGGGACAGATGGGGTGCTCGCCCTCCCCCCGCCGGCCTCGCAGGCCCGCTGGCGGCCGGGGGTCCCTGCGGCGACCTCGGGGCGCAGGGGCTCTGCCGTGCCGCGCTTGACACATTTTGGGATCTGGAACTCCCGGCAACAAAGGGGTGGGGGAGGCGGAGAGGGGCGGGGGGGGGAGAGGTGGGGCTGGAGGCCGGGTGCGAGCTGGGGCGTGGGCTGTCTGGGGGGCGAGGGACTCGCGGGCCGGCGCCCCGGCCTGGGCGCATCCTGGCGGCGGCGGCGGCGGCGCTCGCGCGGCCCGAGCGCCCGGGCCTTCCTCGCCGGGCCCCGGGCCTGCCCTTGACCCGCCTCTCCCCTTGCCCCTTCCTTCCCCGCCCTGTCCCCCTCCCCGCCCCCCGGTGGCGGAGGGCGGGGGCAGCCGTGTGCCCGTCCCGCCGGCTGGGTCTGTCCCTCTCCCCGGGACCCGCCGGTGACGTTTCGCACACGTGCGCGGAGGACGCGCCTGTGACTGGGGAGGAGGCGGCGGCGGGAGGGGGCGCTGGAGGGGGAGAGGGGGGCACCCACTTCCTCCTGCTCGCCGGCTCCCTGGCCTGGGACGGTCCCGGCGCCCTCGCACCCGCCCCCGGCGCGGCCACCCTCCCTCGGCTCCCCCTCGCCCCCCCTCCCCAGCACGGGCGCCCGCCCTCGCGCGGCGCCGCGGGTCTGCTCGGCCCTCCGGGCCCCCTCTCCAGCCGGCCCCCCCACCGCCCCCGGAGCCAGGCTGGGTTCGGAAATGCCCTTACAGCAGCAGGTTAGTGACCGGGACGGCGCGGGGCTGCGGCCGCCGCGGGGGCTCCGGGCTCTGCCGGGGGCTGGAGCCGTGGGGGTAGGCGGTGGAGCGGGGTTTTGGAGTGGGAACGGGGGGTTGGGTGCTTGAGGGAAATGAGTAAGCAAGAAAAATCTAACTAAGTAAATGCCCCGGCCTCCGGTTCTAGGAACCTCGGGCCGGGAGTGTCCGCCCCAGGGGGTGGGTATGGTGTTTACGTGTATTTTTTTCCTAGGGGGCCGATGGGTGGGCGATTGAAAACCGGAGGGGGGGGGGCTTCTCGCCAATGGCCGAGTTGAGCTCTGTTTTCTGTCTCCCTTCCCTTGTGCTGGAGGGGGAGGGGGGCGGGTCAGAGGGTAGGGTGTCTGTAGGATTCCCAGGCCACCCGCCACCCCCTCCCTTTGTCCCTGTAATTTATAAAGCGCCTTGGAGAGATGATTTAGGTCAGTATGCGGCTTCTCTTTTTGTTGATACTAGAAAGAAGTGTGGCCCGGAGGTCTCTCCCCTTTCTCCTTTTTCTCCTTCATTCCCTTCCTCCATGCCTCCTGCCTTCACCCTCGTGGGGAGGCTTGGCCCCCACGAGGCGAGAAACGAAGGAGAGTCAGATAAATGGCTGATAGATACCAGTCGCTGACCTCACCTTGTCTCAGTTCCAAATGGGTTTATTTTGGGGGGAATCAAGGTCTTGCAGGGGGTCTTTAAGGAAGTCAGCACATAGGCGGCACTTGGGGAAATGCGATGGGGCTTGGAATAACGAAAATTTCTGATTCCCATGCTCTTTCCAGTTTTCCCATGGCTGGATCTTAACTGCTTCCCAGCTCCGGAGATACTTGCTGAGGATGAGATACAGGCTTCAGCTCCTGGTTTTTAGTGACAAGGGTCTGCCGGCAGGGGAGACAGTGTACAGTACCTACTTAGACACACTGTATCCAGTATGCTGGGGCTCAGTCACAAGAATATTCTGTGCTTTGGGCCTCAAGTTCTGTTCCTTGACCCCACGGAAACATATTTGGTTATATTTTAAGCACGTTGGCCCCTTCCACCGTTGTGTTACTGTATCATAAACCTAAACGGAGACAACCAGCCCTTGACATGATTCTTGGATTGGATTCCTACTTATGGCAGAGCAGTTTTGATAATGGGAAGCTATGAAACCTCCACCAGGTTGCTGGCGGTTTTTTTTTTTTGAATCTTAGCCTGCCCGTGGAGCTTCCAGAACTTGTCTATCCAAACTTGCACGTACTTCATCGTATTTAAAGTATGAAAATTCTCCTCCCTGCCTTCCAAGTGCTTTCAAAACTTTATCTGCTTTTGCCAGGAGATTATTATTCCAAAGTCATGAGCGCTGAATGCGAAGTGTGATTTTCTTCCTATCACAATTGTCTTAGACTTTGATTTAGATCTTGACATTTTGTTGACCTTCTTTCCCTAAACCGGGAATGACAGCATGGGGATATAGCTAAGTAATTGGCTGAGCAAAGAGACCATTTAAACACTCTGCGTCCAAGAAGAGGTGGAGAACTCTGTTCAGGAGGCCAGAGTTTCAGACCCAGCCCATCCCGGTTCTCAAGAACCTCTAAGACCTTAACAGGAGCGGATCCTGACCTTTTTGGGGAGAAAACCTGAGTACTACCTTACTGGCCAAATCGCCTCTGTCATTTTACAGGTTTCGTGCTCTTACGCCAGTAGCTTAATGTCTCAAAACAGTTTTCCTCTTGTAAAATAGGAATGGCAGCAGTACTGGAGTTAAGGTTCTTTTGAAGGGTTAAAGATGATAATCCGCGTAAACCACTAAGCACAGTGCCTGGTAAATAATAGTATAGATGCCCAATAAGACTGGTGTTCAGAAATGTTACTTCTTTTCTAACTTAGAGCAATAGTGTGAGACTTCCTGCATACTCTCTTTGTTTACACATATGTGTAAAATGGTTACAAGTTTTTTAAAGTGAGATGTAATTCCTTGTACCCAATTAATCTGGGTTTCTAACTCCACAAAACGTGGCTGTTCTAGCAATGGGTAAAACAGGGGCATGTCAGTAAGACAGGAATATATAGAGATGGTGTTGAACTGCCTGAGCCCGATCTTGTGCCTTGGGTTGTGATAAATTTAGATCAACTCATCCTCACTTTTTTTTTTTTTTGCCTGGGCCACACTCCTCCCGTGACGCCAGGGACCCGCCAACTTTTGGGTGCAGTCTGTGTTTCGTGGTTTTTGTAGAACTGAGCGCTCCGCCGCCACCAGGTCAGAGGCACGCTCCAGGTAAATTCATGTCCAGATGGTGAACTGTTGTGAACAGAAGAGCCGTAGAGAACCGTAGTCAGGAGTGCTATTTTCTGGAGCAGAAAAGAGCTTCGTCGTTTTCTGCCTCATGGATGAAATCATTTCATCCAAGGCCTAGGAAATTTGGGATCTATTAATGCAAGAGACAGTGGCCTTTCACATCTGATTTAATTTAATCCAGTCACAGCAGCCTGCTGATTACACTTTGGGAAAGAGTCCACAGTGCTTGAAATTTCTGTGTAAGGATGAAGGAACCAGAGGCGCTGGATAGCAGGCTCTGTGTTTTTCCTGTGCACGAATAAAAGAAAAATGCTGGGTTCCTGTGGTTCTATACTCAATAATCTTGCTTCTGCTGAGATATATGATTGATGCCAAGTTTAAACTCGGAGAGAATTTTTAGTCACTACATACCCCAAAATGGAAGTTTTAATATAATGCAGCACCCAGACGCGGGCAGTGCAAATAGCTTCTCTATAATCAGAACCAAGGGCACCACTCTAATCATCCTCGAGACAAAGCACCCTCCAGTGTGGCCCTGTGAGCTAAGGAACTCAAGCTTGCAAACAGGAAAGGATTTTTTGTTGTTGTTGTTGTGTTTCTAGAAGTCGTCACCTTGTGTAATACTTGGAAGGGTAGATTCGGAGATTAATGCTGCTCTGTGTAAAGCTGCCTTGAAAACAGAAAATAATACTCAAAGCTTAGACCTGAATAAAAAGCAGCACCTGGAGATTTAGAGGCTGTGAGGGGAAAGTTGCTTTTATTCTTGTTTTTCAGAGATCTAATGCAGTAGTTTCCTTTTAACTCTTCGGTCTTTATTGCCTCCCCAGAGATCTACCACCCACCCCTTTAACCCCTTTCTGCAGGACTGGGACCCATTTGGCAAAGCTTCAGATAGTCCTCATTCATTTTCTGGCTGGTTTTCTGATTTCATGGGATTTACTTGTCTTCCACTTTGCCGGGCCAGCCAGCTCCCGTGCCTTTTTGCACTACCTATTTTCTCACTAACGTTTTCAAACCAAGATGAGTGAAAACCAACGCTGGCCCACGCTCATGATATCCAGTCCCGTATTGGTACCCGTGAAATCACTCCAAAGAGCGTATAGCACAGAAGTGGATTTCAGTTCTTAATCAGATCCTTTGTTTCCATTGGGTTTTTAAAGAGAGGAACTTCTGAATTCTTTGAGGTACAAAGTATGTGGTTTAATGCATATTTTCATGCTTGTTCTCAGCTTAAAGATTGTGTTTTAGCGACCATAGCTACAACTGCTAAGAAGCC